AGGAGAGGAAGGAGGGGAAACAGGCAGGTAGAGATGGAGAGAAGGAAATAAAAAGTAAGACACAGAAATATGGGAGAGATAGAGAACAGGATAGAGACTGAATAACAGAGATGGAAAGAGAAAAAAATATATAAAACAGTGGAAAAGGAGACACAGATAAATGGTTGGCCAACTGAAATATGTAAAGCTTAAATAAGAGAGGGGAAGAGGCATAGGCAGAAGGGAAAAGGGAGAGAGAGATGGATATGGTTGGCCAGCTGCAATATATAAAGAAAAATAGAGAGGGAATATAAGAGAGAGAGAGATAGATAGATAGATAGAGAGAGAGAGAGAGAGAGAGAGAGAGAGAGAGAGAGAGAGAGAGAGAGAGAGAGAGTAAGAAGGGGAGAGAAAGGGAGAAAGGGAGAGACAAAGAAAGCCAAATACAAACAAAGACAGAGAGACAGAAAGACAGACTGACAAACGGACAGAGAGACAGAGACAGAAAGAGTGAGAAGGGTAGAGAAAGGGAGAAAGAGAGAGAGAGAGAGAGACAAAGATAGATAGACAAACATACAGAGAGACAGACAAACATACAGAGAGACAGAGCCAGAAAGAGTGAGTAGGGGAGAAAAGGAAGAAAGGGAGAAAGAAACAAAACAGATAGGCAAACAGACAGAGAGACAGAGACAGAAAGAGTGAGAAGGGGAGAGAAACGGAAAAAGACAGAGAGAGAAACAAAGCGAGACAAAGACAAACAGACAGACAGACAGACAGAGAGACAGCGACTTCTTTACTGCCTCGCCATCGGTCTCGTTACGACCTCCTCCACGCCTCCTTGGCTGGCCTTATCTCTGACCTCCTGCTGACCTTGGCCCTTCGCTCTCTCTCATTTGACCTTTTTCATCTTGTCTCTTTTTTGACCTGTATCCAATTCTGGGCTTTTTGGGGCGAGAAGGAGAGAAGCTGTTCATCTCTCTGTGTGTATCTCTTTCTTACTCTCTCTCTCTCTCTCTATCTATCTATCTATCTATATATCTCTCTATCTTTCTCTCTCTCTCTCTCTCTCTCTCTGTCTATCTATCTATCTACCTATCTATCTATCTATCTATCTTTATCTCTCTCTCTCTCTCTCTCTCTCTCTCTCTCTCTCTCTCTCTCTCTCTCTCTCTCTCTCTCTCTCTCTCTCTCTTTCTCTATCTATCTATCTATCTATCTATCTGCCTATATAGTTTTCTCGCTCTCGCTCGTTCTCTGTTCTCTTTGTCTGTTTCTCTATCTGTCTGTCTGCCCCCCCCCCTTTTCCTTTCCCTTTCTTTATCTATCTAATCTAGTTATCTCTCTCTCTCTCGTTCTCTGTCTATCTATCTATTTGTCTATTTTTCTGTTTGCCCCTCTCTGTCTATCCATGTATCTAGTTATCTATCTGTTTAAATATCTAGTTATCTCTCTCTCTCTCTCTCTCTCTCTCTCTCTCTCTCTCTCTCTCTCTCTCTCTCTCTCTCTCTCTCTCTCTCTCTCTCTCTCTCTCTCTCTCTCTCTCTGTCTCTCTCTCGCTTTCGTTTCGTCTGTTTCTCTGTCTGTCTGCCTCCACCTTTCTCTCTCTTCCTCTTTCTCTCTCCCTACCTCCCATTCACTCTCGTTCAATTCTTTTCTTATCACTTCCTCTTTTTTTTTAATTTACTCTCTTTCTTTCTTTATCTCTCCTTCCCCCTCTCTCTCTTTCTCTTCTTACCTTTCACTCTCTTTCGTCTCTCATCTTCTCATCCTCTCCTTTCTCTCTTCGTTTAGTCTCTTCTCTCCTCTCTTTTCCATTCTTCTTTATTGCATTCTTCTTGGGTCTCAGACACGATTGCATTCTCTCGTTTTTTTTTCTTTTTTTCGTCTTCTTTCACTTCCTTCTTCTTTTTCCTCATTTCCTCCGTTATTTTGTGCCTTGGAATGTAATATTCTTGCAAGCCGAGAGCCTTTCTCAATTTTCTCCTATTTATATGTTTACTCGTTTATCTATTATTACTGTTTACTCGTTTATCTATTATTATTCTATTTATCGATTATCTATTATTATTCTACTTATCGATTCTCTACCATTCATCTATTTATCGATTCTCTATTATTATTCTATTTATCGATTATCTATTATTATTCTATTTTCTCTATTATCTATTATTCGTCTATTTATCGATCATCTATTATACTTCTACTTATCGATTATCTATTATTATTCTATTTATCGATTATCTATTATTATTCTATTTATCGATTATCTATTATTATTCTATTTATCGATTATCTATATTTTTTATTTAGAAATGATGATGTAGGAGGGGAAGGAGAAGGGGGAGGGGGATGAAGAGGAGGAGGAGGAGGAGGAGGAGGAGGAGGAGGAGGAGGAGGAGGAGGAGGAGGAGGAGGAGGAGGAGGAGGAGGAGGAGGAGGAGGAGGAGGAGGAGGAGGAGGAGGAGGAGGAGGAGGAGGAGGAGGAGGAGGAGGAGGAGGAGGAGGAGGAGGAGGAGGAGGA